AGATGAAGAACCTTTTAAAATCAGAATTTGATATGAAAGATCTGGGGAGTGCTAAGAAGATTTTGGGAATGGTTATAAAGAGATATAGGGCTGAAAATAGACTAGTCATTTCTCAAGAAGCATATCTAAACAAAGTCATAACCGAATTTGGTATGAATGGATCAAAATCTGTGAACGTTCCCTTAGCAGCTCATATGAATCTTTCTGGTGCACAATCTCCTAAGACTGAGGAGGAATTTAGAGAAATGAGGAACATACCCTACGCTAATGCTATAGGTTCCGTCATGTTCTCTATGATAACAATCAGGCCTGACTTAGCCTATGCTATAAGTTTTTTGAGCAGATTTATGTCAAACCCAGGAAAGCCTCATTGGGCAGGTTTGAAATGGTTGTTAAGGTACATTGTTGGTACATCAAATCTGGGTCTAGTGTATGAAAAGAGATCTGAAAAACTTACTCTAAAGGGGTATGTAGACTCTGATTTTGCTGATGACAAGGATAGCAGAAAGTCTACTACAGCGTACTTTTTTACACTAGGTGACAATTGTATAACATGGAAGTCACAGCTGCAGCCTTTAGTTACTTTGTCAAGTACTGAGGCAGAATATGTTGCCATAACTGAGGCGGCTAAAGAATGTACTTGGTTAAAAGGAATTTTAAAAGAATTGAACTTCATGCATGATACACCTGTTATGTTTACTGATAGTCAAAGTGCTTTATTGCTTTGTAAAAATCCTGTTTACCATGAAAGAACTAAACATATTGAGGTAAAGTATCATTTTATACGTGAGAAACTGTCTCAAGGTGAAGTTAATCTTGTTAAAATTCACACTGATAGGAATCCCTCTGATATGGGAACAAAAATTCTACCTGCAAGTAAATTTAGATTGTGCTTATCTTTATTACACATTGACACTGGTTAATTTTCTTGCAGGTGGTGAGCGATGATGATGAACAGTTCTTCCATGTGCAAATTCGCAACCAAGAGAGAGTGTTAGGAGAACCAAGGTGAAGAATGTGAGGATATGGTTCACCTAACACTATCAACTTGTGACTTGATGGTATTGATGTTGACACAATAAGGTCTTCCCACGTTTTTTGGCAGAGGCATGGTCTTTCCTTCTTATGTAGACTTACCCTCTACCATTTTAAGAAGAAGAGCTCTCGGTTTCTTTTCTCCCAGCAGAGAGGAGCTCTCGGTTCTCTTTGGCAAAGGGTTGTGGTTCTTCATTGGTTTTCCCCTCTCTCTTGGAAGGTAATTAGCAAGTCATGGAAGGCTGTTCCTGAGCCTGAAAAACACCCATAAATCGAAGAAGAAGCTGCTGAAACGAGGAAGGAAAGCTGGACAGATTTCGGCCGAACACAGGTTGTATTTTTCCATCCCCTTTTTTCATTGTTTTGCCTTGAATCTTGTCTATGGGTTGATGTTTTGGTTGATTGAACTCCTAGGATCCCCAACAATCAATCTTTTTGATATTTGAAGTGTAGGTCTTGAATTGGTACCCGAATCGAAAACCATCTGAGAATATTAACAAAACAACTGGGTGCTTGAGCTTTGTGAGTGGCCTCGAGACTTGATCAAGGGATTGAGAAGTTGCTGATGGCGATGATGAAGCAAAAGAGGAGAAGAATAGAAAAGACAAAGGCAAAAGAAGCAGAGAGAGCAATGCCTGTGGAAAGAATTAGACAAATGAATAGAATCCTGTTGGTCGATTCTTTCAATGACAGGGAGATTAAGGAGGAAGATTCCGTGTCTCAGCCTCTCAGGGAAAAAGAGCAGCGGTTGAATTTGGTAACTCGTCTTCCTATTTGGATGGAATTGGTGCAGGCTTTGAATTAGATATTGAATCTGAAGTCATGATAGATTTGCTAACACCCAGAACACCCGTTTAGTCAAGATTCTTGGATCTGGTTATTTTCATGCGAAAACATGAAAAATTCAAGTGGAATTCAAATGTGTGCAGTTATGAAGAATCTGAATCCAGGTTTTTTATGATTTAATCTTTTTGTTCTCCCTTTTTCCTCTCTGTGACTGGGGGAGAGAGATGGAGATGAGGAAAAAAAAAGAAAAAGAAAAAAAGTAACGTGCATAAAAAAGGACAATTTATCTTCCAAAACAATTTGATGAATGTGAGCAGGCTGATTGAGTTCCAATAATCATTGAATGGTTTTTTTTTGGCCTTTTTAGTTTTGAATTTGAATTATATATTTGTGATTAATTTGTAATTTTTTGAAAATTTGGAATTATTATTGTAATTAGTTCTTTATCATTTCATTTCATTTCTTTTTGTTTTATTTGAATATAAGGGTAAAATCATCATTTTATTGAAAAAATAGATGAAAATGACATTTTGGACAATGAAAAGTGGGAATAGGGATAAAAATGCCAAAAAAGAAAGGTATGGACATTTTGCACAATAACATTGAAATATATGAACGTTTTATGTTATTTACCATTTTTTTTAATTTTTTTAATAAAATGTGATATGTTTTTTTATTCAAACCGCCATGGAGATTGATTATTTGGAGATATATGACCTCATTGCCTATGTCGTGTTAAGTGTGACATTTGGTCCCTCAATGCTTCCAAATATATGGCTTTGGATAGTACACCCACTTTTACACTCCTAGCCTGACTCCAATGAGAGATGTATATTGTCGATCATTTTAATATCTGCAAGCTCTCGGCGAATAATTGTGATTTATCTACCAAAAAGCTAATACCTAATATTTTCAATGAAATGGGTGATTTATGCACATGAACTTTAGGGGAAAAATGCCTATTGATCGTGAGAAGTGGTCCACCTAGATTAAACCATAATGATGTATTTGAAAACTGATTTAATTTAGGATATTTCTCCTTGCACAGGGTCTTGTGCACAGGGTGTGAGATATGGGGGTGGACCCCACATGTCAGGACCCTGTGCAAATAGCACAGCCCTTTAATTTATCAAGAACATGGCTAGCTGATATGAATGCAGAGTGTTTATCATGCCAATAATGATATGATGCTGTTATTTGTCTCGATCATCATCTTTTTCTTTGAGTGTGAAATTTCGTATTTTTATTCACAATTCTCCTTTGTTTTTTAGGTCGGATTCTTTTTGTACTGATGCAAGTGGATTACTATATGGACTATGTTAAGCCCTTATTCAACCAACTCAAAACTTCAAGATAATTTTGATATTAGTTACTAAAGAACATGCACGAACTATTGTAGAAATTAGTGAAGAATAGCCAAAATAATAATAATAATAATAATAATGATACAAGCAGGAACTAGCTAGGTGAACCCAAGATATTGTATTTCACAGTTCATTGAAAAACAGACAACACCAACAATTAAAACTTATATTCTTCTCAATTTTCAGTTTAGGGGAAGGCTTGTCTACAAAGTAGAACTATGCTTACCAATGCCCATGTGCATTACGATGGTTAAAACTCAATGAGTCACTGAGTAAATATCAAATATATCCCCCAATAAGTTAAATAAATCTTATGGATATCCATGATTTTTGAAAACTTATAAAAACCTCCTCTAAAATTTAATTTTCACATATTTTTCATTTTCACTCAAAAACAAATTAATATTTTCCATTTTACCCTCTACATTTGTGTTACTTTCATATTATTTTTGAAACTATATGCCTTTTACTCTTTTTTCCTATATCCTAAAAGAAATATTGTTATAAATTAATTAAATATGGAGTAAAATATTTTTTTGGTCTTCCTTCTTCTTGTTACATAATTTTAATTTGTTTTTATAAATATTCATACATTTAGTCCCTCTTTGGTGTATCTTTAAATTTTACTAAAAATCAAAGTCAAAGTTAATAATTCATTTTAATCACACAACTTTTCATTTTATGTGATCCACAACTTTTCAACAATACATTTGGTAATAGCCCTTACTAAATCAACTTAAATTATAACGATAATTTTGATATTAGTTAGTAAAGAATATACACGAACTATTGTCGGATGAAGAGATAAGCATGAACTAGCTAGGTCAACCATTGGTCATATGTTTCATAATTTATGAAGAAATAGACAATTCAATAATATTTTAATAGATAATATCGACAATTAAAACTTACAAGCTTCTCAATTATCAATTTAGGCGAACACCTCTCTACAATGTAAAGTTAGGATTACCAATACCCATAGGCATGCATTAGAAGGGTTAAAACTCAATGAGCCATTGAGTTCATGATCATCATTAAATTTGGTCGTTGAAGTCAAAATTATTCTGAAGTGTTTGAAATGATGATTCATCAATTTTGATAACTCGTGTTTTAATAAGCAGAGGCAAAGAGAGGTGAGTGTGTAAATACCACAAAAGTTACACGATAGAAGGTGCTGCGGGAAAAGGAGAATAAGTGCCCCCATTGAATTTAAGATGCTTTTTATTTAAATTAGTATTTTACATTTTTCATTTTTGCAAAAATGGTTGAGGAAGAGAGTGGAGGAGCAAAAAGTAATAATAGGGAAAATTGCACTATTGATCCTTCATTTATTTCCTCTATAGCAATTTAATCATTAAACTTTCATTCTAAGTTGCACAATAAATCTATGATGACTAAAACCACTTAAATCTGTATTCATTGTCAAAATTAAAGTGATTTGTTCTTTTTGATACTTGGGAAGTAATGATGAGAGAAAAATCATAACTTTTACTGTCATAATATTATTGCATTGCTTACAAAATATCTATATTTAAACTTGGACACTACGAAGCCTAATTATTCACTCAACTTTCACATGTTTCAATTTTGTCGTGGACTTCAAAACCAATTGACACAACCCATCTCAAATCAGTGGTCTCGAAAACTGACGTGCATCGATAGTAGATACCAACTAAATGTCTGACCCATAACCAAAGTGACTTTGACCTACTTTGACTATGATAAATTTTACAAAAAAGTTGACAAGAGTTCCCCTATATAAATTGGACAAAACCAACCAGAAAAGCAACAAATTTTCCCCAACATGCCCTTTATTACAAGTACTACTAGCCAAAATAAAGTGCGGCAAAAATGATTTGCATTTCCTTTACAAGCAAAAGTCCTCAAATGCACAAATTATATGTATAATCCATATTAGTCATCGAGCTTTAAGAAGTCTTTCAAAATAATTATTTGATTTTCAGTTGAATCCAACTAATGGAATTTAGGCAGTCGGCACACCTCAACAAACCACATGTCCTCATTCTAAACTTTGGGGAAATGGAGGAACTTTCAAGATTTGACACTAAATCCGAGCCCATTGAAAGGGCGGATTCTCGCATACAAGTTTCGCTGAATGTAGCTCATCCGTGCATTAGGCTTACAGTTTACGGGCCAAGGAAGCGAAGGGAATGAGCTCGTCAGCTTCTCCTCCATGCATCCAACGGCTGAAATGAGAATGGCACAGCTTAGATGTGAAGTAACATGCAAGTGAATATGACTTTTGAAATATCAACACAACGAGAATATAAACAAGCTGTCTGTTACATTTAATCTACACAACTTATCACTGTTGACAATGCACTGCTTTTCTTATCCCCATGAAAGGAATCCAACTCTTATATAGAGCAAAAGGATAACAAAAGCATAGGAAAGAGATATTTCAAACAAAAGGAGCCTTTTTCCAAACAGAACACAGCTAATCTTTCTTAAATCATATGCACTTTATTCTGATTCTCCTGCAGGCTGCAGGACTCGAAAATTATATAAGACGGCTCCAGCTTCTTCTGGTCAAACAGGCATCTCTTCCGGTACTACACGCTTGCAGAAATGGCAAAAAATATTGGAATCCTTGTATGTCCTTTAATCATGGTTATGGACATTGTAGCAGGTGTTCTTGGTATCAAAGCAGAGATAGCTCAGAAAAAGGTTTGCCATCTATTCATATCATTTGAATTTAATTTTTATTAAGAAAAGTTTGAATGAATTTCTCAATATGTACTTCTGCGAACAGGTCGAACATTATAGGGCGTGGATTTTTGAATGTGGAGACCCTAGCTATCAAGCTTTCAAACTTGGGTTGGCTGCAACAGTGCTATTATCTGTGGCACACGTTATTGCAAATTTGTTAGGTGGGTGTATTTGCATTACATCAAAAGAAGAACTGGATCAAGCTTCTCCTAACAAGCAACTTGCAGCAGCTTCCCTCATCTTATCATGGTACTTTAATCTGCATACATTATTATTTTGTTAACAAGTATTTTGTCTACTTATTTTGAGCCTCCCTGATTAACTCAGCTATGGTCATATATCAGGATTTTGTTAGCTGTTGCATTCACAATGGTAATCTCTGAAACATTAGCAAACTCAAAGTCAAGAAGAGATTGCAGATTAGCGCAGCATCACCTACTGTTTATCGGGGGAGCTATATGTTTTATACACGGACTCATTTTGGTTACTTATTATGTTTCCACAGTCGCTGTTTTTCGAGAAAAGAAGAAACTTAATGAACATGAAGGTTAGGCCTAACTAGGGTTGGACATGGTTCAGTTCGGTTCCAATGAAAACAGAACTAAACCCGAAATTTTCAAGTATTTAGTAAGTGGAACCGTCCGGTCCAAATTTAATTATGGAATCGTTCAGATTCGGTTTCATTCGGTTCAGTTCTGTTCGGTTCGTTTCCTAGGTTCTTTATTATAATTAAAAAATTTTAATATTTACGAAGTTATATTAATTCAATTAATGATATGTTCAATTTTAGCTCTTACAAGGTAACGTAGTCCAATCTTATGTGTCTTTTGCATCTCTCTTTGTCGAATTCTTGATAGATTTGATTGTTAAAATCACAGGAAGAGAAAGATAGTGAGCTCAAAATAATTAAGAGAAGTGTTGTCGAGTTTCAATTCGATTTTTCCAGAACGGTAAAAACGACATTATGGTAGAGTAACAGATTTGAATAAAACTTAGGTCTATTTGATTAAATTGGCTTTGAACTGAAAATTAAAAATAGGAAAATCATATTTTTGGGTTTGACTAAATTACCTAGTTAGCAAATTTAAAATAAATTAATTAAAAAATTTGGGAGATTCGATTCTTATTCGTTTCTTGATCTAGAATCGAACTAAACCCGTCGATTTTCGATTCAGATACCCGTTCAGGTATTTAACTTAAGAAGAACTGCTCGGTTCGATTCAATTTTGTTCGAGTTCGGTTCAATCGATTTGATTCGAGAATTTGTCCAGCCCTAAGCCTGACTGTCTCTTCCTCTCTCAAAAGATTTTAAACTAAAACTCTTTTCACCTTTATCCTTCTCGTTCTACTTATTATTTTTTTTATTTTTAACTTACTCTTCAAGAGTAATGCTATTTATAACCTCATTGGGATTACAATCCCAGTTTGAGTGGCGTTAATATGATATTAATTGATAGGTAGAATTAAATAATTCATTTAATTTTACATTTCATTTAACTTGTCATCTAATCTAATGCCACCTAGATTGGGGATGGAACCCAGCGGGTGCCACATAGCATTACTCTTCAACCTTTGGGGATAGTTTCTCTTCCTGTCAACTTGCTAAACCAGTCCTTCAGGGATAAATGATTTCATTTGTAGTTGGAAGTTGAGTAATAAACATGAAATCAATAATACATATAATTAACTAAATATTTAAAGAATAAATGAAATTGAATAATAATTTTGTTACTTAAGCAATTAAGATAATTAATTAAAGAAATAGTAAAATGAAAAATCGAATAAAATATTATTATTTTTATTCAAATGAATAATCGAAATAGAATAATTAAATATGAAATGAATAATATACATAATTAACTAAATATTTAAAAAATAAATTAAATTGAATAATAATTTTCTTACTTAACCAATTAAGATAATTAATTAAAGAAATTGTTAATTGACAAATCGAATTAAATACTATTATTTTTATTGAAATAGAATCATTAAATATGAAATGAATAATATGCATAATTAACAAAATATTTAAATAAATATTTAAATTGAATAATAATTTTCTTACTTAACCAATTAAGATAATTAATTAAAGAAATTGTTAAATGACAAATCGAATTAAATATTCTTATTCTTATTGAAATAAATAATTGAAATAGAATCATTAAATATGAAATGAATAATATGCATAATTAACAAAATATTTAAATAATAAATTAAATTGAATAATAATTTTCTTACTTATCGAATTAAGATAATTAATTAAAGAAATGGTTATATGACAAATCGAATTAAATATTATTATTTTTACTGAAATAAATAATCGAAATAGAATCATTAAATATGAAATGAGTAATATACGTAATTAACAAAATATTTAAAGAATAAATGAAATATAATAATATTTTTTTACTTATCGAATTAAGATAATTAATTAAAGAAATGGTTAAATAACAAATCGAATTAAATATTATTATTTTTATTGAAATAAATAATTGAAATAGAATCATTAAATATGAAATGACTAATATGCATAATTAACAAAATATTTAAATAATAAATTAAATTGAATAATAATTTTCTTACCTATCAAATTAAGATAATTAATTAAAGAAATGGTTAAATGACAAATTGAATTAAATATTATTATTTTTATTGAAATAAATAATCAAAATAGAATCATTAAATATGAAATGAATAATATACGTAATTAACAAAATATTTAAAGAATAAATGAAATAGAATAATATTTTTTTACTTATCGAATTAAGATAATTAATTAAAGAAATAGTGAAATGAAAAATCGAATTAAATTTTTTTATTTTTATTGAAATAAATAATCGAAATAGAATCATTAAATATGAAATGATTCATATGCATAATTAACAAAATATTTAAATAATAAATTAAATTGAATAATAATTTTCTGACTTATCGAATTGAGATAATTAATTAAAGAAATAGTGAAATGAAAAATCGAAAATAATATCGAATTAAATATTATTATTTTTATTCAAATAAATAATCGAAATAGAATAATTAAATATTAAATGAGTAATATATACATTCAGATAATTAATGAAATATAATTTTTAATGAAATATTAAATAATCAAATATGTGAGAATTTTTTTTGTTTAACCGTTTTAATATGTGATTGGATGAATCTATTTATTGCATTGTTAATTGAAATATGATTGTTTAATTTTGAAGATACGATATTTTATTTATAATCTCTTGTATATGATTTTAACATGTATTATTTTTGTAGGATGTAATATCATATTGACAATGATCTGAGATCTCATTTGGGAAAAGTTACGACGTATTGTAACTTTTCTAGTTATGCGACCGTGATTGAGGGATTGGATGAGGAGCACATCGGCATATTCCATTGGTCGTTTTTATGGTCCTTCTATCCGTTGAAGGACGTGCAGTTCTCTGGACAGATTATTGATTCGTTATTACTCTGGCTACTTAAACCAGTCGATGGCGATCAACTTTTTTTTGTTATGGGGGACGAGAAGGTATCGAGATTCTCGATCCTTGAATTTGCCCTCATTACAGGCTTGAGATGTATAGAAGAAGAAGAAGCGATGGCCCGTATTATACCAAATAAAATGTTATTAGATTTATATTTTGGAGGTAAAAGGTCGGTTACACCACCACAGCTAGAGGACGCCTTTAGGAGATTCGATCACATGTTAGACAAGCTTAAGCTAGGATTGGTGTATATACTGGAGAGTATATTGAGGTGTCGACATCGTAGGACGTCGATAGGGAGATTAGCTACCCACGAATGCTTCATTGGCGAGCACATGAGAAGCCACCGGCTAAAGATTTGACAGCTATCCTCGACGATTCTCAGGTGAGTATTATATATTTGCAATTTATATTGTATGTACATTAACTCGATTCGATACATGCTCGTTAACATGTTGAAATATGATATGTCAGCTCGAAGTTCATGCTGAGTTGGTTGTTTCGATGGAAGAGGAGTCGTTGATGATATCGATGCTTTCAACAGCTTTCCATGGGGTCGAAGATGTTACTCCGATACTCTCCACGTATTCAGGAGGGTACATACTATGCCAAAATCGGAGAGGATACATGAATTGCATGTTCGACCTATTGAAAACGATCTAGTGTTTGAGTCCGTTCCGGATAGAAATAGGGTACGTTTATTTAAGATCATTATTTAATCTGATTTATAATATTCATGTGTGGATTATTAATATTAATTGTTTTCTCTGTGTAGGAGCGTCATCTAGTAGAACGACGAGCACTTCCACGTAGGAGATCTCCTTCATCTCCGCCGATGAGATCTCCGTCACCTCCACCGATGAGATCACCCTACCGCCATTATCACATTTTCTAAGGAGATCTTCGTCTCTCGCACCCACCCACCTTCCACGTGGATCGCCTGCACCCAGTCAGACCCGTCATTCAGATGATTTCTTTGCACGCATGACTGGTATTATTAGAGAGGAGCTGGGAACGATGCGACGTGCATTTACGACGGAGGTAGTAGCACTGCGAGAGGAGATAGGGGTGTTGCGACGGGATATTACGACAGAGGTAGGAGTACTGCGAGATGATATTGGAGTGCTGAGACGAGATTTAGAAAAGCTTCATACTGAGGTTGCAGCACTTCGGGGCGATGTAGCAGGCTTCTGAGGTTCTGTCAGAAGGAGTGTTGGGGAGACTGGTGTTCCTCGAGATTGGTGGGCAGCGACCGCATGAATCGATGAGTTTTTTGATTCGGTGCCGGAGCCCGGGAGGGAGGGGGTGGAGGTCGGGTCGGAGGTGCTGGAGGATGCCGGGATGGTCGGGGTGGAGGTGCCGGAGGAGGTCGGGATGGCCGGGGCGGAGGAGGCTGGGGTAGAGGTGCTGGAGGAGGTCGGGATGACAGAGGGGGTGGAGGGAGGAACAGGGGTGCCGGAGGGAGAGACAGGAGTGCCGGAGGGAGTGACCGAGGAGTTAGCGAAGGGGACACTAGAGGTGGTAGTAGAGGGGGATGAGAGGGTTGCGGAGGACGAGAGGACGCCAAAGATGACGGATGACGATGTAGTATTCGTGTTGGAGGGGGCGATGGAGGTGCCGAAGGGTAAGAAGCGTGCTAATGACGCGCCAGAGCTGATGGTACGTAAGAGATCGAGATTGCCGTCACAGTACATTGTTTCCCCATACACGACCGAGGCGAAGAGAAGGGGTTTTGTGGATGGGACGTTCCCCAATCTTTTTCGCGACGTCGACCCGGTCAGACAGAAGGCGTTCGATGATTGGTTCAAATCTCTTAAGTCCGAGAAAGTATTTTATGATTTTGCTATTATTTTTTTGTATTTTTCGTAACTTTTTTTCATTTTTCAAAGATAGTTATACCATCGGCTGTATGACCGTGCCCAACGCTAAAAGGTGGTTCGAAGATGTACTGACGACCTCAGCTTGGCTCGCTGATGATGTAAGTTTTTTGAGTTTTCATTTATTATATTTATAGAAGTTCTTGGTTCATTTACTTAAACGTCTCTATCTTTTTTGTTTGTGTTTTTTTTTATTCCAGCATATCGACTTGGCTATGGAATTGTTACGCGATCGGGCTCAGAGATACCCGAGATCTTATGACATTCCTAGTCGAGTTATCCTGAGCTCTGAGTTTGTTCATATCGTAGATATTGAGCATCACGAGCTCCTAAGCAAGGGGAATGAATATGTTCTGCCCGAGTACATGGTAGAGTGGGTGATTGGGCTACAGCCAAGGTGAGGAAAGCCGTGGACGGATTGTACACATATATACATTCCAGTGATCACGAATTCACATTATTTTTCAGTGGAAATCGTATTTGCAAATTCCACTATTTATGTGTACGACTCTGATCACAGCTGTCTGACACAAAGTCGACTAGAGCACATTCTGGAGCCAATTGCTGTGATCGTGCCCATGATGGCTAATCAGGCGATGATTCGAGTAAATGACAGATTAGCCATTGTGCGGAACATGACGACGGCAAAACAAGAAAGATCGTAAGGATTTAAAACTTTTTAATTCTACCTTTTAATTTTCAGTTATATGTTATCGAACTAATATATTCTTCTTCGGTTGCAGGGGCGACTGTTGCTTATTTGCAATAAAGTACATAGAGTTTTTGGACATTTGCCACAATGTTGAGACAATAAATCAGTCTTGGATTGATATGTGGAGGCATAAATTAGCTTGCGACTTGTATGAATATAACTGTGATCCTTAGTGCATTGTATATTATTTTATTGAAATGTAAATGTTGTTTACTTAACCTATTTTTTATTCAAATATGCTGTTATAAAGAGTAATTAAACAATGTGATTAAAATTACATTCGATTTTAAATTGAGAATAGAAAAAGCATATTACAAATGGAGAATACAAATGATTTATATAGATACTACACATCCGTCGAGTCATTGTTTAGTGGGATCTGACTTGTACAAAATCGACGTGTATGCCCTGTAGCGCCGCACCTTCCGCACTTACGCGGTTGTGGAAACTCTCCTGTAGATGGTATTCTAGACATCCGTCTACGACCAGGAGTACATGTTCGAACTTCAGGTGGCAACAAATTATTAAGTGCTACAATATAATCAGGAACTTCCCACTCGACTTCATTTGGTAGAGGAAATATAGTTTCGGCATATGCTGCTCTCCAAAAATCAGCCATGTAATAATGACTGCATAAGCTGTGTGGTGGAAATCCTCTATACATAGCCACTGCGACAGCATGCACACATGGAAAACTCTCCAACTGAAATTGTCTACACATGTAGGTATTGTCATTCAAGTCTACAATGTATCCAACATTATGCCCACATCTCATGGAGAAGCGAAATTGATCTAGTGGTTCCACAAATAGAGCTTTTGCCACTTCCAGAGTTTTGAATAGTCGATCTTCCTGTGCCGGAGCTAGCACACTTGTGCAATTCTGGGATTCCTCACGTCGGTCATAAAACCACTGTTGCAACCTGTTACGAATATGTTCAATCATTGCGAGAATTGGTAACTCTCGATCCTTCTTAAATAATGCATTGAGCGACTCCGCATTATTCGACGTCATCATGTTGTATCGACGTCCTGGAAAATGTGACCGTGCCCAATGTTCGACCCCCATATTTGATAGATATTCCCATACACTTTCAGATTTATGTTCTATTTCGCCCATGAACTTCGTAAACTCTTCAAAGCTGTAAACTTCTACAACTCTCCTAAACAATGCAACGATACCACTGCCCCGGTACCTAGTCTTCAGGTTGCCCTGAATGTGGTACATGCAATAACCACGATGTGCTTCCGAAAAAACTTCGGCTATACCATTTATTATTGACTGCCCCCGGTCAGTCACAAATGCAAGGTTCTCGATATCCCCAATTACTTCTCTCAGCTTCATGAAGAACCAACGCATTGCTAGATCAGTCTCTCCATCGACAATGCCAAATGCAAGAGGGTAAATTTGGATGTTGGCATCTTGACATGTAGCAATAATCAACTTCCCTTCATATCTAGTTTTTAGGGTTGTACCATCAACTAGGCTTAGAGGTCGCATCGTATTTCGAAAACCTCTAATGCATTGTCCAAGAGCCATAAAAAAATACTTGAAGCGATTCTGCCCATCGGTTTCAATAAAAAACGCCGAGTCAGAGGCAATACCTGACCAATTTGGCATAACTCTTCTCTGTCGAACCCATTAAATCTTCCAATGCACATTCTTTTGCCTTCTAGGCCTTCTGGTAACTCATAACTACCCCATACTCCCGACGGATGTCATTGATGATATCTGTAGCTCTGTAAATCGTCCGCAGGTCCTGAAACTTGTGCATTATTTGTCGACCACTAAACCATGATCGAGCTTGCCTGTGATCATTTTGACGAATATCCACTTCACAAGTACGTTCCTATGCATACTTGCGAACTACAAAGAACTCATTTGTGTCCACTTTTGTCGCTCTCAAACGCCAACTGCAATTGTTTTCCACACAAATAATTGTGTATGTAGACTTGTTTGATTTTTTTTACCTTAAACTCAAAATTATGTTTCATTGCAATTCGATGCACAGCTTCTTGCAAATCTCTTTTCGTGTCAAACAATTGATCGACATGTAAATCTTCATCATTAGGAACTATACGCTAACAATTAGAAGACCGTGTACTCGGACTAGCATGTGAACTCCCATCAGACTCATGTCTTTGTCTAGATAAAGCAGTCAAATCCTGATTTGTAAATGGTCTTTCATCCTCGTTATCTTGAACTTCCTCGTAAATCCTTTGTGTAACGGTGACATCATGGTGAGTAGCAAATGTCCCAGGAATAACCACATCATCATCACGGGCAATCTCAACAGTATCCCAAAAATCATTCTCGTTACGATCCTCTCCACTGAAAACTTCGTGTTCACCTTCGGGGACATTTTTCTTCAACAAAGTTACGCAAATAGGAGTTGTTTTTCGACCTTGGTTCAATTGAATTACATGCTTTATTTGCACTTCAGAAGTAACCTTCAAAGGTGGAATCGAAATTGTTGAATTCTTTTGAAATAAAAATCTCAATTCCATATCGTACCGAGAGGAGTCGACGTTAAGCATGTTTTCTATTTCATTGTACATTTTTCGTAAACGATGTATTTTTTGTTATCGAAATAACAGCAACCCCTTCTCCTTCACTCGTCCATTTCCATTCCCATTGACCATTTTATTACTTTTGAAATTCGCCGAAATAACAGATTGGGATACATGCTTTTGCCATACCTACATTACGGATTAAACAATTATCAGTGATATCATAGTAATCATAAAAAATATACTCAAGCTCGTTGTTTTGGAAGTGTTCCATAGTTTTTTACACTATACAACACAATTAGTAACAAAAAAAGAATCAGTAAGAAAATTTAATTCGATTATTTATTTGAATAATTTGAATTAATATTTAATTCGATTTTTTATTTCACTATTTCTTTAATTAATTAACTTAATTCGTTAAGTAAGAAAATTATCATTCAATTTAATTTATTCTTTAAATATTTCGTTAATTACGTATATTATTCATTTCATATTTAATTATTCTATTTCGATTATTTATTTGAATAAAAATAATAATATTTAATTCGATTTTTCATTTCACTATTTCTTTAATTAATTATCTTAATTCGATAAGTAAAAAAAATTATTCAATTTAATTTATTCTTTAAATATTTCATCCATTACGTATATTATTCATTTCATATTTAATTATTCTATTTCGATTATTTATTTGAATAAAAATAATAATATTTAATTCGATTTGTAATTTAATCATTTCTTTAATTAATTATCTTAATTAGTTAAGTAAAAAAATTATTATTGAATTTAATTTATTTTTTAAATGTATCGTTAATTATGTATATTATTCATTTCATATTTAATTATTCTATTTCGATTATTTATTTGATTAAAAATACTAATATTTATTCAATTTTTCATTTTACTATTTCTTTCATTAATTATCTTAATTGGTTAAGTAAGAAAATTATTATTCAATTTCATTTATTCTTTAAATATTTCGTTAATTATGTATATTATTGATATCATGTTTAATTGCTCTATTTTGATTATTTATTTGAATTAAAATATATTAATATTTTCATTTAAGTATTTCTTTAATTAATTATATTAATTGTTTCCATAATTAATTCACTAAATATATATTTATTATTAAACATATATTTATTATTTATTTAGTATATTTAATTACTAAACATATTAAGCCAAAAAAAAATTCTATTTAATCTATCTCTAAATTTTGTTCATTATCTTAACATATTTATTATTTATTTCATATTTAATTACATTTTTTAACATAAAAATTAAAATTGATTCAGAAAATAAAAAAAAAAAAGAAGAAAAATTCGGGTCTGGAACGGACCATATTGTGGTCCGTTCCGGACCATTAAATGTGGTCCGTTCCGGACCATTTTAATGGTCCGTATGGTCCGTAACGGACCATAGTTCGTTCCAGCGATCGGTGCCGACCTTCACTTCAGTTTTAATATTATTTTTCCTACCATTTAAAAAATATACAACTTCAATAAAAACAAAATTAAGTACTAGGAAAAGATATTTACCGAATTAAAGTGTTGAAATTTAACGAAATATTTTTGTTGAGGTTGATAACTGATAAGTTTATGAAATTTTGGGGTTGAAGTGGATGAAAAATGAAAGAGTTTTTATCGTGTTAGAGTAAACTGATGAAAAAGAGTGACTTCCTTTTCAAATCTCAATTGAGAGGTGTTTGGATTTTAATTTGTAACCTAAGGATATTTTGGTCTTTTTAACAAATTTCTATTTTTGTAATTGAATAATTCATTTAAGGGTATTTTCGTCTTTTACACAAAAATAGGCCTTTGTGGTGAATGTCAAATTTTTTTGGTTAAAGTGAAAAAATGGTTGTTTGACATGGCTAATATTAAAAGTACCCCCATTTTGAGAGAGTTCTTGGTGCTAGTACTGTACTCTGCATTTTGCCGTTTTGGTTTTGGTAGTATTTATAGGATAAATGTCTTATTTCGTTCCCAATGTCCGCAAAAAATAGCAATTTTTTTCGTTGTAGTCTTATTCCAATATTCCATCAATTTTCGAACAACATTGTAGAAGTTGGTTTTGTAAAAAAAAAAAAAAAGAAAAAAAAGAAAAAAAGAAAGTACGTGTGGAGGTCATATCCGAACATTAAATCGAGAAAAGCTAAAGGGTCAATTGTATATATTATTTAGGGATAATTGCAGCAGAGGCTCCAAACTTTTCAAACACTAGTAGACTTTTCCCAAATTTTGATTTGTTGCAACTGTTACCCTAACATTTTCAAATGTTACAAATGAGGCCCTAATGGATGAAAAACATCTAATCTACCGTTAGTTGACCAAAATAATTTGACCACATTGTTAATATTTTTACAAATGGAAAAATCATAACTTTCTATTTACCAAATTAAATAATTACATTAATTAAATTTTAAATGCCCTAAAAAAAAAAAGGAAAGAAAGAAAGAAAGGAAGAAAGGGAAAAAAAACTGTATCTTCTTCTTCCTCCCATCCCTTCCCCAACCTACCCATCCCTACGCTAACCAAAACCGCCACAAATTGTTTTTTCTCAAACTGTGCAATGATAAACTCAAATTTCCTCTTACAATAGGTTCATTGCCCGATCCCGAACCGTTTTCACCGTCACAGAGTGTCGATGCGTTTCAGTGCCAAACCTCTCTGATAACTAGCTGCACACTCCTGTGGAAGGAACTCTCCAATCACTTATCTTCCCTCGAACAGGACCTCCAGAAGCAAGCAGATGCGTTGAAAGCCAAGCTCCAAGCTTTGAATTCGGAAACTCAGACATCTTTGAAAAGTCCTTGATAACTGTGAGTCCGCAATCTCCAAGTCGATGTCTATGGCATTTGAATCATTGGAAAAGGCAACAAAATCTTTAATTTCTGGAGTATTATCGGAGGATCTTACTGTGTGTAAAGGTGAGGACTAGAATGAAGAGCCTGAAGTGGATAACTCCGAGGGTTTGTTTCTCAAGTTGAAATCCTTTTGCTGCAAGTTTGCCGCCAAGGATTTTTGGGATTTCATTACAGTGCAAAAGAAAAGAACTGGAACTATTGAGATCGGATTTTAGTTAGGGAAGGCTGGGTAGGTTGGGGACGGGATAGGAGGAAGAAGAAGATACAGTTTTTTCCTCCCTTTTTTTCATTTTTCGGGTTTTTAAATTTAATTAATGTAATTATTTTTATAAATATTAACAATGTGGTCAAATTCAATATTTTGGTCAGCTAACGGTAAATTGGATGTTTTCCATCCATTGAGACCTCACCTATAACGTTTGAAAATGTTAGATATGATGGTTACAACAAACCAAAGGTTTGGAAAAAATTTGCAATTGTTTGAAAGGTTTGAGACCTCTGTTGTAATTATTCCTATTATTTATGAAAATAAATTAACTTCCATTAATTTAATTTAAAATTTTAAAAAAATATTAATAAATAAAACAATAAAATTTGATTAATTAAGTTATTCTTATATTTTTATTATTTCATATCAGAATTTTATATCAATTTAAAAAAAGAAAATATAATTTTCAATGTGTAACTTCTCTATTTTTTATGGATGACTTTGATTTTCGTGCATGCATTTACCACTTGTTATTTCCCTATATCCAATTCGAGTCATGCACATTTTCTTCGAAATTTCCCTTTCCAATGAAAAAATAAAAACTCTCCATTTTTAACCTTTCCATCACTCTTTGAAAGTATAGGAACAAATTAAAAATCAAGAATCCATTCTTTTAGTTGAAAAATAATTTAAAATATTATAAAGAATAAATCAACGATTTCTACACTATAGATGTTATTTGCCAATACTTATTTGATAGCGAGTTGATAAG